ATTACAAGTTTGAGCATAACCTGGGTAACTTAAGTAAAACCCTACCAAAAAAGTTAAAAAATTAAAAGGCCGAGAATATTGTTCATTATAAAGCCCTTGGGTTCAATCTCCAGTACCACACGAGAAAAACGTTCTCATCAGAGAATGAATCACAAAAATCTCCCATTGTGTGGGTTGTCATTTCACTTTCTAATGGTGTTCCCTAGCAAAAAAGCCTTGCTTTGCTGGAGTACAGTTTATCAATTGCTTCTTCTCTTGCTTGTGCTTTAGGTCATATCTAAAAAGCCTCTGTCCAATCTAAGGTCACAGGACTAATGCCTGTATTTTTTCTTACATTAGGTTTTGATCCATTTTGAAGTAACTTTTTTATACAGTGCGAAGGTCCAAATTTATTCTTCTACATGTGGATATCCAGATGTCCCAGGCATCATTTGTTGAAAAGACTGTTATATTCTGTCCTCATTAAATAATCTTGGCACCCTTGTCAAAAACCAGTTCTCTATAAATGTGAGTGCTTAGTTCTGAGCTCTTGATTCTGTTACATGGATCTATATGTCTATTCAGGTGGCCATACCACAATGGGCTTTGCTCTATTGTTTTGTGGAACTAGAGATTGAAGCCAGAGCCTTCACACTGAGCTACCTCCCTAAACCTTTTTTATTTTTTATTTTGAAATGGGTTCTCACCAAATTGCTCAGGTCCAGCAATTTGTAATCCTCCTGCCTCAGTCTACCAGAGTGCTAAGATTGAAGGCATACAGCATCATGCCAATGTCTTTGGCACAGCAGGCACAATATCTTTGTTACTGTAACTTTGTAGTTAAGTTTTCATTTTGTTTTGTTTGTGTTGTCTCGCTGTGTAGTTCAGGCTGGTCTTGAACTTACTATGTAGCCCAGGCTGGCTTTGAACTCACTGTGCTCCTCTTGCCTTGGCCTCCTAAAAGCTGGGACTACAGGTATGCACCATCATACCTAGGTGAAGTTTTAAAACTTCCATCTTTGTTTTGCAAGACTTTTGGCTATCCTGTGCCCTGTGAATTTCTATATGAGTACTTTAATCAGCTCGTCAGTTTTTGCAAAGAATCCAGTCAGAATTTTGTTGACTGTACTGAATTTGCACAGCAATTTAGGAAGTGTTGCCATTTTAACAATATCGAGATCCAACCCAGGAAAGTGGTATCTTCCCCGTCTGTGTAGGTTTTTGTTATGGCTTGTGTCTAGCTGCCCCCATAAAGCCTCAGGCAGTCATAGGTGGGGCTTTTCAGAGGTGGTGGGATCTACAGCGTGTGACACTGGGATTAATTCGTGGTGCAATATTAGGATTAGGGGTGTGAATGCTACCCAGACTGTGGGCAGTTAAACCTGCATAAGACATAAGGGACAGAAAGAGGCTTGTCATTGCATGTCGCTCGCTGCTTCAGTATCTTCTGCCTGCTGTGAACTAGCTCTCCTCTGTGATGCCCCTCTGCCATGACAGCCTGCCTTGGAGCCAGCCAACTATGGACTGAAACTTCTGTAAACTGTGAGCCAAAATAAACCTTTCCCCCTTTAACTCTGAGTGTCAGGTATTTTGTTTCAGCAATAAGAAAAGTAACCAAAACAGTCTTTCTTTCAACAATGTTTTGTATTTTCAGTCTGGCTTTTACACTACTTTTGTTAAATTTATGCCTAGAGGTTTTATGTTTGATGTTATTATAAATTATTTTCTTCATTTTTGGAGAGTTTGTTAAGTCTCTAGTATACAACTGATTTCTGTATGCTGATGATAGATCCTTTTTTCTCCTTTTTGGTTTCTTTTTTTTGAGACAGGCTCTTGCTATGTAGTTCAGGCTGGGCTTGAACCCATGGCAGTCCTCCTGCCTCAGCTTCCCAAGTGTTAGGATTGGGACACCACACCCAGCTACCACACCCAGTCCTACTTGTAGTTTTTTTGTTTTTCTTTTTTTTTGTCTTTTTGAAACAGGGTCTCTAGTTCAGGCTGGCCTTGAGTTCACTATGTAGCCCAGGCTGGCCTTGAACTCCCAATGATTCTCCTGGCTCAGTCTCCTAAATGCTGGGATTACAGACATGTGCTACCACACCTGGCCTCTTTAAATCATTCTTTTGTCTCTTTTCTGCTCCACTTCTGGTACCCCACTACACCTTTGCTGGTGCAATTCATGTAACTACACAGTTCTCTCAGTCTGCTTCTTTCCTGAGAAAATTCCCAGCTTTTCCTTTTAAAATTTATGACAAGCCGGGCATGGTGGCACACACCTGTAATCCCAGCACTTGGGAAGCTGAGGCAGGAGGATCGTTGCAAGTTCAAGGCCAGCCTGGGTTACAAAGTGAGCTCAAGGCCAGCCTGAACTGCATGGAGAGACCTTGTCGCAAAAATACCAAAAATAAATAAATACATAAACTTTATGACAAGCCTATTGTTTGTCTCACTGCTATCCACTGCCTCAGGTAGCTGGAATCTTAATTGCGTCTAATGGCGTTTTACACACACACCATATTCTATGTGAAAAGGCTTTCCTTACTGAACAAGCTCCCAGACAGGTCATGTAAAAGAGCCCATAAATGGGTCCTCCAGGATCCTCTGGACGGGTCAATGGCAGTTCTCTGGCAATGGGGCTCTGAAGGGGTTTCAAGCCCTATTTTGCTTCCTCTAAGGGGCCGCCAGACCTTGTGTTTTCACCAGCACTCTGGGCTGCTGTCTTTCCAGGGTACTGTGGAACTGTGGAGGGGGAGCTGGGAAAGTCAAATTAAAGTGCCACCAACTTGCTGTTCTTACTGAAGCTTGGCCATTTTTCTTGAATAAACATTCCCTAGACTGCTGAAAGTCTCTGGTTCATTTCTTGAGTTTTGGAAAAATTAACTGACAATTTTTGCAAGTTTCCTCATGAGTTTTACGGAGAAGAGAGTTTTCAAGGTCGAGCACACCATTTTCACTGATATCACCTTCTGTTTCTTATCTACTTGTTTGACACATTCTGCAGGAGAGATACTGTCATGTCCACCCACTTGTGGACTTAGTGCTTCCTTGAGTTGTCAATTTTTCTTCATTATTTTGAAGCTGTTACCAGAAGCCTGTATATTAAGAATCATGAAATAGTCTTACAAAGTGATTCCTTCATCATTTAAAAAATGACTCACTTTATCCCTGGTAATGTTCATCACCTTCATGTCTACTTTGGTATTACTGTAGCCAAATGAGGTCTACTGCTTCATATGCCAAGCACACAGGAGCCTAGCATCAGTGTGTACTTAGATATAGGAGAATCCTGCTACTCACAAGCACTGCCAGGCTTTTGGGCCCTGAAATCGCCCTTTAATTGTGCCTGTGTTACAGGACCAAGAAGCCTTCATTTAGGCCCATTGAGGGCTTTTCTATAGAAAGTTTTGGTCACAGCCTTCCTCAGCAGCCCTCCTGACTTTCCTCCTATAAAATTCTGACTCACACTCAATTACCTAGGCTTACAGTTTCTATTACTAAGCCACAAGGGTCCATAGAAATCTACCTTTTCTGCCATCTCGTATGACCAGAATGACTTCTAACTTCCTATTTAGGACGAGCTGAAGGCAGCCAGGGGGTGCAGTGAAACTTTCTATTCCATAGGCTCAGCAGTGAGAAGAACTGGAAACTGGGCATTAGGAGGCGCAGTGTGCTTCTGGCTGTGCACTGAACAGACACGAGAGGCAGGGTGCACAGATGCTAAGACTGTATCTGGCCTGAACCTGAAGCCCTGCTTCACCACAGCTGTATAAGTACAACAGCTTCCAGCCTCCCTGTACTTTAGCTGCCTTACTAATAAAAGGAGGATGAGAATAGTTCCTACTTTAAAGGGCTAATTTATGGTTTAGATTGGTTTAACATAAATGAAAATGTTAAACGAGTGCCTGGAACACATACAGAGTAAGTACTTTCTAAATGTTGGGTATGATTTTTGGTATTAATGCTATTTAGTCATGATTATTGTTTTTTATCATTTTAGCTGAGATATGCCAGATATATGGCATTTCATCAGCACTCTGTAGGTGTCTAATGATGGGAGTTGTACATAGCATTGTAGAAATGGAAGGTTTTGTTTAAATGTTTAGCTGTCTTTTCCCCTTTTCTCTCTCACCTTTTTTAAAATTTTTTTTTGTGACAAGGTCTCACACTGTAATTCAGGCTGGCCTTGAACTCACTAGCCCAGGCTGTCCTCAAACTTTTGGCAATCCTCCTGCCCCAGCCTCTCGAATGCTGGGATTACAGGTGTGCACAACCACACCTGGCTCCCCTTCACTCTTTTAAGAGCTTTAAACAGTGCACAGCTTTAACAGCTTTAAACAGAAGGGGTACTCTTCTGTTGGTTCCTATTTATTCAAATCCTAATAGCCACTTTTCACAGAGTCCTAACTATATGTTGGGAAATATACTAAGAAGAAAATTACACACACACTCCCCCCACTTAGTCCTTATCGAAGTCTTTGAGGTATATATAATGTTCCAATTTTTAAAAATGGAGCTGAGTTTCAGAAACATCATAATTTTTCAAGACTATACATTTCATCAGTGGCAGAAGCAGTGTGCAGGCCTGTTCTGCTCAGTACTGTCTGAGGCTCCTGTCTGCAATGCTCTTCTCCCCCAGGAAACCTCTGCTCAGGAAACCTCTGCTCAATCTCTGAGATTAGGCGTGGGCACCCCTTCTCTCTCCAAACTTCTCTACTGTCTCCACCTGCACCAGGGCCTGGCAGGACAAGGTTAGACACCACTACTGTAAACTACTGCCACTCACCCTCCCACTCTTTGCTTGCTTCTGTTGACTTGTTTGTGCCCTCCACAGAGTTTCCAAGAGTAGGGACTAGTTTGGGGTTGGTCTTTTTTTTTCCCCAGTGCAAGGGATCAACCTAGGGTCTATCACTGAGTCAAATCCTAGGGCCTAGGTTTTGTCTTTAAAGAAGAAAAACTTTACAATAACCTGAGAGAGACAATCTGGTGAATGCTAATTAGCACGTCTGCCCACTGTCACTAACCTTCAGCTTGTCTGCTTTAGCCCGCACTTCCAGAAGCTTCTTCTCCTTGGCATCTATATGCAGCCCCTCGTCACACCAGCTCACAGCCTCGGCAAAGTGTTTCAGTTCTAGATGGCACAGGGCACCTGGAGAAACCACAGCCCTTAGGTCTAGGAACGGTACACATGGGCCAGCCCACCCCATCTATCAGCCAATCTCCTGAAAGGAGGACAGGGGCTGGGCCCCTGGACTGCAGTCCCCAGACAAGCAAGAACATTTTCTGTACTGTAGTCAGAAATATCCCCAGTGCTCATTCAGCTCAAAACTCTGCTAAGTCTCCTTGGCATTAAGCACTGTAAAAGGAGGGAAGGATATGGCTGAGTGGCAAAGAACAAAGGCTTTGGAATCAGAGAGATATGGGCTGGAAATAAGACTGAGACTCAGAGCTTCTGGTTCCTCAGCTACAAATGGGAAAAATAAAGTCTATCTCAGGTGATTTTTAAAACATAGAAAGTAAACAGAATTTGCCTCAGCCATTCATCAAGGTAGCAGCAAGACCAAAGATATTATGTCCCTAGTCAGGGGTAGTGACGCATGCCTGTAATCCCAGTACTTGGGATGTTGAGGCAGGAAGATCACTTCAAGTTCCAGCCCAGCCTGGGCTACAAAGTGAGTTCAAGGCCACTCTGCAATATATGGTAAAACCCTGTCTCAAAAAACCAAAAACACAAACAAATAAAAACAAAAAACATGTTCTGCCTTTTCTAATATTGTTCAAGGCTAGCAGTTCAAACTGCTTCTCCTATTAAAAAAAAATGTTTTGCCAGGTGTGATGGCACACACCTGTGGGAGGCTGAGGCAGGAGGATTGCTGGGAGTTCAACACCAGCCTAGGCTAAAAATAAGTTTGAGGCAAGCCTGAACTACATATCAAAACGTCTCAAAAAGACAAAAAAAAGTGTTTTAAAAGGTGCAATGATGCATGTCTGTAGTTCTAGCTACTCAGAAGGCTAAAGCAGAATTGTAAGCTTGAGGCTAATTGGGATCTTAGCAAGACCTGGTCTCAAAAATAAAAAATAAAAAAGGCTGGGGATGGGGCTGGGGATTTAGCTCAGTGGTACAGCGCCTGCCTGGCAAGCACGAGGTCAGGAGTTCGATTCCCAGTACTGGGGAAAAAAAAAAAGGCTGGGGATGTAGATCTATGGTAAAAGTGCTCCTGGGTTGACCCCCAGTACCAAAGGGGAAAAAGTTTTAACTCAACCACATTCATTTTTCTCTAGTTAGCCTCTTTAGGATTTCCACAGATTGTCAGTATCAGAATTGTAAAGTTGTAAAGGTTCAGATGTCAAAAGAATCTAATCCCATCTTCCAGAGATGAGCAAACTAACACTCAGAGTAGGTTCATGCCAAGGTCACATTAAAAGGTAAAACTGACCAGGTGTGGTAGCTCATGCCTATAACCCCAGCACTCTGGAGGCTGAGGCAAGAGGATTACCATGAGTTCAACACTAGCCTGGGATACACAGTGAGTTTAAGGCCAACCTGAACTACATATCTTGATAGATATGTACATATCTACATATTTTGAGACCCTGTCTCAAAAAAATAAATAAATAAAAGGTAAAGCTGACAACTGAATCAAGGATTACAAACCTCATCTGAGGCTAATTCCCTAGGACTAAACTCTACATGCCAATCTTCAGTACCTCCTTTCTCTGCAGCTAGGGGAGGGACATGGATCTGCTTACCATCCTCTAGCCATGAACATCTAAAGAGGCATAACTGTGGTCAAGTATTTTAAGCTGGTCCTTGGGAATACAGAGGAGATTAATATGAGATGAATAAAGTTTGCAGAGCACCTATGAGCTTCTCAGAGAAAAAGTAAAGAAGAAATGTAATAAAAGCACTACACTTACACAGAAAGGTCAGACTACAAGAGAAAAAAAATCCAGGAACATCTCAGCATCAGCGTTATCAGCAAAGGTCCCGTAACTTATCTTTTAATTAACATTAACATGGCATTTGAAAATCTTGCCTTTCAATCAGCTAACTTGGAAAAAAATCAGAATGTGGCTTTTGGAACTGTTTTGTTTTAATTAATTTTATTCCTTATTAATTTAAAATGAGTCTCAAATTCTATATAGATTCTTACAGGATAAAGGGTTAGATTATTCTCGGAGGAATTCTTTTAAAATGGCATGTTGCTCTTGACAAGGAACAGGAACTTAATATCAAGATTACAAAAATAAGGTGAGTTCAAAGCTTTAAATGTCAGTCTTTGGTACAGCGAGTGCCAGCTTTTCCACAGCGATAATTACACAACCGCAGCACTGCGAGCCTTACCTCTCGTTATGGCTTTGAGGTGGTGGGGCTTTAGCTTTCGGGCAGCCATCACATCATTGAGAGCAGAACGAAAATTGCCTAACAAAAGCCATGTAGTAAAAGAAAGAACAAGTTTTGAAATCAAAATTTATCCAACACATGTGTGCACTGACAAATACATTCTTGTACAACCTTGGAGAAATGTAAACCATAGCAACTGTTTTTGGTAAAAATATTGCTGTGCTCCCTGAACCTTGGAAATGTTTACAATACCAGGTAATCCACAGAAGAACTCCAACAGCTAGTAAGCATGTGAAAAGATGTTCAAATCCACTTGTGATTAGGAAATGAAAATCACCATGAAGTTGGCAAAAATTAAGAACTGATAACATCCACTACTGGTACAGATACAGGGAAAAAAAGCACTTCCAAATAAATTAAAGAGCAAATTAGTGTTACTTTGTGCATATACTTTAACCCAACAATTTTCTTCTAGGAAATTATCTTCAAAAATATTTGTATAGCTGGGCGTGATGGCACCTGCCTGTAATCCCAGCACTCTGAGGCTGAGGCAGGAGCATCCGTTGTGAGTTCGAGACCAGCCTAGGCTACAAAGTGAGCTAAAAGGCCAGCATGAACTGTATAGTGAGACCCTGTCTCAAAAAGATGAAAATAAAAAAAAATTTGTATAAATGTGCAAGAATAAATGTAAAAGTCTATTAACTACAGCACTACTTTAATTGTACCAAACTAACGATAACCCAAATATCTTATTAAATAAGTTATAATGAATCAATGCTATTGAATACTAAGCAGTCATTAAGAAGAATCAGATCAGATACCATTTTGGGAGTTTTCTTAGACTTTTTTGTCTTTAAATTTTTATTAAGGGGCTGGGGATTTAGCTCAGCTGCACAGCGCCTGCCTGGCAAGTGCAATGTCATGAGTTCGATTCCTGGTACCAGAAAAAAACCCAAATAAATAAATTTTTATTAATACAGTTTACAATATATAATTTACATTCATCATGGCAGATACCATTTTTGTAAGGTAAACCAAACTAAGTATCTAAATATATACACACACATGGGTTTTTACAAGTGCATTCTAGAAAAGGAGTGCAGTTACACATGACAGTTATATAAACAAGGAGGAAAGTGAGGCCGACTTACACCTTCCAGCATATATTTGAAACAATACTTAATGGCTTAGTATTTACCTATAAGTAATTTCACTTCTAAAACTCTCTCAATGGTCAGCAAAAATTTTCTCTTTTTTTTTTTTTTTTCCCCAGTACCAGGAATCGAACTCACGACCTTGCGCTTACCAGGCAGGTGCTGTGCCGCTGAGCTAAATCCCCAGCCCCCCAAAATTTTCTGTACATAGCCAAATATTATACACTTTGTTTCCCAGGTACCAGGTGGTCTGTCACACATGCTCCTTTGTGCTTTTACACTCTCTTACATAAACAAGAATTCCAAGAACCGCTGGTTAAAGGTAATACACTGAACATGTGCGTGTGTAACTGGACCCCTCCTGCCTCCCCAAAGCCATAAATTCACAAGAAACAAAGATAACGCGAAGAACACAGATCGCATTTTGAAAGGTGGAAAAAAGACAAGGACGGACTGATGCTTCAGCCTTGAAAAAACTTAATTCTAAGCCAGGTGTGGTGGCACATACCTGTGATCTCAGCACTCAGGAGGCTGAAACGGGAGGATCACTGTGAGTTCAAGGTCAGCCTTCGCTACATAGTAAGTTCAAGGCCAACCTGGACTTACACAGTGAGACTGTCTCAAGAAAAAATAAGAACAAACAAACAAACCTTAATTCTAAATGAGCAAAGGAAAGCCCAAGGGCTACCAAGTTATATTCAGAAATGACAAAACACTCAGAATTCAGGAACTGATGGTACCATGTACCTTGGAAGTGGGAGTGAAGGTAGGCTGAAAACCCAAGAAGCAGTCAGATTCCTGTATTCCTTATACCTCTGCTACTGCTGGGACCTAGTCCTTCCACATTCTGTGGAAGACTGGGGGTTTACCTTATGCAGGAATAAAACAGAAGGCCTCTGCACAACAGTTCAGCAGAGGGAATACTAAATATGAGTCATTAGCTCTATTCCCCTATTTGGCTCCCAAAGCATCAACAACCAGAATTTCCCAAAAGAGAAAACAGTAAATAAAGAAAGAAAAATAGGAAATAATTTACAAGAAATGTTGAGTTCGTAGACTGAAAAAGATTCACTGAATATCCAACACACAGGACCGGCATACCAAGGCACAATGTTTCAGCACACTGAAGAGAAAAGCAAAATTCTAGAAGCTTCCAAAGAGAAAAAAAAAACAAAAACACCAGAATGCCATTTGTAGGATTAGGAATCAGAACAGTTCTACACTTCTCATGAGTAATACTGGAAGGTAGAAATATAGACATGCTGTAAATTCTAAAGGACAATGATCCCCACCTAGAATTCTATACTTAGCCAAATTATCAGTTAAATGTGAGAGTAAAATAAAAGTACTTTCAGACATCCAAGATTTAAGAACTTTACTTCTAATGCTTCTTTTCTCAGGGAGAAACTGAAAAATGTGTTCCCAAAACACTGGAGTACACCTAGAAAGAAAGAATTGTGGGACCAAGGGAACTGGGGGCAAACACCAGAAGACAGCCGGTGAAGAGTGTTCCAGGATGACAGAAATGCCCCCAGCCTGAAGGGCACCCTGGAGTAGGTCAGGAGACTCCAGAGAGACACCACCAATCACAATGAAGGCATAGGTACCGTGAAACATAGTGATAAGCAAACACAGTAATTAAGACAGTTACTACTTAAAGAATTGGGGGAAAACTAAGTTTTATTAGAAAAAGGGAAATGATTAGAATATTCAACATGGTTCAGCTGAGATCATCCTTTACGTGACCCTGTGTGACCATATGTGGCCATATGTGACCATACGTGAAAACACTCAATACCAACACAACCCAAACACATACAGGTACAGACAGGAGGACAGGACACCTGTGGCTCTGGTGGCAGCAGGAAGAGAGAGCATAGCACTCACTTCCTTGGGAGGGAAACAATGGCCAATGCTCAAAATTGAAAAATTAAAGCAACAGCACAATAGTTTAGTAATATGAGATATATATGAAAAGAAATAGCTAAAATAGTTGTGAATATTTGCCACTGAGAATCAGAAAATGGTAGGAGTGCCAGGACTGATGCTTTTCAAACAGGGCTTACAGAACTGTTTGACTACTTAAATTATGTGTAGACAGAACTGTGATGGAAGTCAAGAGTAAATTTAAGCCTAGTACCGTGGTGCAGCCCTATAATTCTAGCTAGTCAAAGAGCCTGAAGCAGGAAGATTGCAATTTTGAGGCCAGCCCTATCTCAGAATTTAAAAAGGCTGAGAGTTTAAAAAAAAAAGGCTGAGTGTGGTGGCACACACCTGTAATCCTAGCATTCAAGAGGCTGAGGCAGGAGGATCACTGTGAGCTTGAGGTCAGCGTGGGCTACATAGTAAATTCAAGACCAGCCTCAACTACATAACAACACCCTGTATCATACAGCCAGAAGAAATAATTAAATTAAATTAAAAATAAAAAGGGCTAGAGATGTAGCACATGGCAGAATGCCCCTGCTTTCAAACCCCAATACCACCACCACCAACACCCACACAAAAAAACCTAAATTTAAATAAAGAAACATGACCAGAAATATCTATACCAGATGTTCACAATAGTAAACTGCTTGTAGGACTATGGGAAAATGTTAGTTTTCTTTTTTAACCTTCCTATATTTTTCAAAGCTGTTACAATAAATAAATTAGTTTTATAATAAAAGTTACTCAAGCACACATATGTGTCCATCAGCTAGTGATGATCACAGATTCTACAGGCAGACATTTGCCCCTGGTGAAGCCACAGTCCTGCCCCGCTGCCTGGAGACGCCACCGCCAGCTTACAGAAACGCCTGCGACCCCACCTGGAACAGGAAGATGCTGGGAAACTGTTCTTTCACTCAGCCATTCCGCTCTACTCATTTTTCCTTGAAGTTTATCCCTCAGCCATCCGTGATACAGCCTTTCCCGGGCTCTCCTCTGGGTCAGCTTCCCTCTTCCAGGCCACTTCATCGACCAGACCCGACTCTGGCTCTTCCCAGCTACTTGCTCTGCTGTACTCCCTCCCTGGTGATCTCTGTCCACTGCAGACAACCTGCCTCACCTTCACGCTGATGACCATGAGCACAGATTTCCATCCCGAGCCTTTCCCCCAGGTTTCATCCTGATCTTTCCACATTTCTCTACCTGAATGTCTCACGTGTGCTTCAAAGAGAGATGCCCCAAGTGAACTTATTATCCCTTATCAGCACCCCTGACTTTTAACATCTGCTCCCTCTTCCTTAGACAACCAATTCAAGTGTACTAATATCTTCCCCAGAAGCCAAGAGCTCCCTATGTCCATAAGTCAAACTGTTTTGACCAAATCAGTGTCACCTGAATCCACGTTCTGTTCTTCCTCCTCACTGCCATGGCCTTCCTTGAAGTGTTCCCTTCCAACCCTTCCTCTTTGCCCCCTGCAGAGCTGCAGAAATGCAAGCGCAGCCCTGACCTGCCTCAGCCTTCAGTGCTCTTCACTGACAACTGGACAAGCTCAAAACCCTCAGCATGACAGCCAGTCTCCGGGCCCTGGCCCCAGGTTCTCCAGACCTTCGCCTTAGCCCATCTTGCACTTGTGTGTTTCTCTTGAATTCTCGATCCTGGAATGCCCTTGCCAACTGCTTCTACTTTATTAATGCCTGCTCTTGCTTATGCATTTGAGGCAGCATGTTCTTCCAAAGTCTAAGTTGGTACTTCCAGGGCCTCCCTAGGAGTGTGTTCTAAATTGTGTTTTCTGTAGTGTAACTGTTCTCTACTTACTGCACTTGGCATCGAACCTGACTTCGCACCCTAACCCCAGTACCCTAAGACAATGCTCTGTGCCACACTTATTTCTTTTTACTAGTTTTTTGTTGTTTGGGTATTTTGTTTGTTTGCTTTTTGCAGTGCTAGGAACCAAACCCAGGGCCTAATGGATGCAAAGCAGATGTTGTATCACTGAACTACATCCTCAGTCCATTCACTACCATCTCTTCATCTGTAAGGATAAAGCTGGTAACCTCACCTACCCTATATTGGCTGCTATGAGGTCACATGAGATAACATGAACGTGCTTTGTAAGGCTTACCAGTGGCTTATCATTTAAGAAATGGTTCTTAGTATTATGTACTTACTCCTTTAGCACTATGCACACTTTTTTTCTTCCAAGATGCTTTTGATCTTATTGGCCCTGTACACTGCATCCTTTAAGTTCCTCATAGACAAGAACTACATAGCTCTTATTCACAATGTAGTAATAATACAGTAAGTGCTAAATATATATTTATTGAATAAGTAAGTGTAATGGGTGATACACTGTTTAGAAGTTTAAATAAGCAACTCAGCAGGGGATCAGGGGCCTCCTTTTGTTTTTGTTTTTGTTTTGTTTTTTTTTGGTTTTTCTCTGGTACCGGGAACCAAACTCACGACCTTGCGCTTGCCAGGCAGGCGCTCTGCCGCTGAGCTAAATCCCCAGCCCCGGGGGCCTCCTTTTGTAAACATCCTCATCCTGTACAAGAGGAGAGCGTTGGAGATGGTGTGGGTGCTACATTAACCCACCCTAGGGGGCAACAGCCTGTCTACAATATAAGTGAGGTAAAGCAGCTTGTTCTCCCCCACTTTTTGGTCTTGCTGCTTTTGCTGTCTTCTGCTGCCTTGAACTGTTGTCCCTGTGCCATGCCACCTGGCCTTGGAGCCAGCTGATTATGGACTAAAACCCCCACAAACTGTGAGCTAAATAAACCTTTTCTTCCTTAATTCTGAGTGTCCACCATTTTGTCTCCAACAACTAGAGAAAAGTAACTAAGACAACAAGTAAAAGAATGAAACTCCTTTAGGGAAAGGTCAGGTCCTATTCATCTCTATGAAAACATGTCTAGCCCAGAAAAACAACTCAGTTTGTCTGGTGAATGAAGGAAATATCTTCCTCCAAGTTAGAATATCAAGTTTCTAGTCCAGGTTCTAGCATTAATCAAAACGTCCCTTCTGGGCTTATGTAAAATTAGGTGGCTTGTTGGCCCAGACAATTTCTAAGCTCCTGTGCCACTCAAGACTTTTAAAATTTTTTACTGAAACAAGATGAGAGAGCACTCCAAGCAGACCTGGCTGGGGAGGACCTCTGCTCAAATGGTGATGAGTCCTGCCAGACTCACTCCAGCTGGGCTGCAGCACCTGTCCTCTGCTGCCCCTCAGAAATGCCTGAGTTACTCGCAGTGCTCTCTGAACTCTGTGATAAGAAACAAGTATCTAATCCCACCCAGAGGTGTCAACAGCAGTACTACCTCACTCCAGCAATCAGCCTCCCCCCTCCACCCTCCCGCAGTCACGCCTGAGTATTAATGTTACCTAAAGAGAAGGCTTAACAAAACTTAAGAAACCTACTCGGTTGTTCTTTATCTCAGTGTCTTTAACATGTTAGTGTACACTCTAAATCTCCTATAAGAAGCATTTCCCAAACTTCCTCCAAGAAATAGTTTTTACTTCAAAAGTTGTACAAAATACTCTGAGCAATTCCCCTTAGATGCCTCACCTAAAGATCTCTATTGCCTTAATCCTTCTAGCATCTTTAAGAAGAAAAAGGCCAGGAAAAAAAAACAAAAACAAAATACGTAGTTCAGTATGTAGTTCAGGCTGGTCTTGAACTCACTTTGTTGCCAAGGCTGGCCTCACACTCACCATGATCATCCTGTGCCAGCCTCTTGAGCGCTGGAATTACAGGTATATGCCAACATGCCCAGCACAAAAATATATTTTGAAAGAGTAGAACCATTTGGGCTCAAAAATCCAAGATGATACTGACTCACATATCAAATATCATATCAGAGAGACTAAGCCACTTTTTGAAGTAAAAATTACTCAATCCAATCTGTTTCCTTCTGATCATGCCTACCTGGAAGATCAGAATTCAACACAGTAAACTATCCTCAGACTGGGTTTCTAAGATGAAAGCCCCTCTTCCCCTGATACTCTTAGACATTCCACTAGGCACTATAATGGCTTTTATAGTAAGTTAATTCTTTAGAATACACTTAATAATGAAATAAATTACCCAGATAGTACTGTGCTGCTGCTCGGTTGGTGTAAAGGACAGCATTCAAGTCAGGGTCTACACATTTCTTCTTCAAACCTTCAGTGTATGAGATCACAGCTTTCTTATAGTCTTTTTCTTTAAAGTAGTCATTGCCCTCATCTTTATAGGTCTTGGCTTGTTCTGAAACAAAGAGGAGAAATAGTCACTATTTCCTACGTTTTAGAAGGTTCATTTAAAATATTCTAAATAATGTAATATATGATAAACCAAAGAGAAGACACCAATAGGAAAAGGAAAAATTCAAAATTAGTGCTATGATAAAAACGGGTATCAATATGGAGAATCAATACTATGTAAACTTAATGCTACAATCAATTACAAATATCAAATAACACACATTACTAAGTACTTATCAGATAAAAAGAAGCATAAAAGTGTACTTATCCTAGCTTTTGAAAAAAGGACTTTTTAAGAAAATTATTAGGGAGATGATACTTCTGTTCTTGGTTATTCTGTCTTATTCTCTGGAGTGCAAATTCCTGACTTGCAAACCACCCACTCCTGCCCTTTCAGTGTTCCAACAGCATCCACTTCAGCTATAATGTATTTGCTGGCACTTGTCACTCATGTTTGGGCCAACTTCTTTAGGACAATTTAGCTTCTTACTGGGCCAGGAGCTATGCCTAGCAGTAGCAAGTATCCAAAGAAGTGTATGCACAGGAAATGGTGACAAGGTAGCCCCAGGCCAACCTTTCTAAAACACACTCTTTATCACTATCCAATGGAGACACAGAGCAAATGCTAGTTATGTAAGATACCTTCTGGAGATCGCTCCTCATCAAAAATAATTGACTGGAGGCAAGCCAAGTCAGGATTCTCCTTGGGATCAACTTCTGATGGTGCTTTCTTCATAAATAAGGGAATCTTGTCAAATTCCTGGATTTTAAAAGAATGAATTTAGAACTCTGAACAGCCACGATCAGAAAAAAATCACTCCATGCCACATCATACTTTAAAAAAACGGAACTCCAACAAAAAACAGAATCACAAAAACTATTAAACAAAAGCAAGGCGTCACTTATAAAGGAAAACCCATCAGAATTACAGAAGACTTCTCAACACAAACTTTAAAGATAAGAATAGCTTGGAATGAAGTGTTTCAAGGCTTAAATGAAAACAACTTCCCACTCAGACTGACATATCCTGTAAAATTATCTTTTAAAATTGGTGGAACAATAACCATTGATAATTTCCTACCTAATTTGTATGTAATTTGGTAAGCCCCCCCATTACTATGTTATCCTTCTTTTACTCTTTAAAATAAAAAAAGAAAAAGAAAAAAAGAAAAAATAATAATAAAACTGGTGGAAAAATAAGATAGTTCCATGATAAAGAGCACCTAAAGAAATTCATGACCACCAAACCAACACTCCAAAATTTTTCAAAGATATCCTAAAACAGTAGTGGCGAACCTTTTAGATACAAACAGCCCACTGCAGCACATATGTCCTAAGTTCACCACCACTGCTCTAGAAAGACACAATGCAGCTAACAAGCCAAAAGGTCCAAAACAGTGAATGCACCAAGTACAGCAAGCAATTAAGTAGAAGGGAAAGAAAACAGTAACAGGAAAATAATGCAAGAACAGGAATAAGTCAATACCTATCAGTTTTTGGCTCTCCACATGCCAAAGACTAAAACTAGACCCATGTCGACCACCATGCACTAAACTAAAGTCAAAATGGATTAAAGATCTAAATATTAAAATAGAAACAATCTAGTGGAAGAGAAAGTAGGTAGAAATCTTGAAGACATGGGGTAGACAGAGAGTTCATGAACAAAAACCAAACTGCACAGGAAATATTTCAAAGAATCAACAACTGGGATCTCATCTTATTGAAACGTTTTTGCACATCTAAAGTAATCACCAACAGAGTAAAAAGAAAATCCACGAATTGGGGAAAAAAATTTTAGCCAAATGTCCCTCAGACAAAGGACTTCTATCCTGAACATATAAAGAATTTTTAAAAATCAGTACCCAAAATTCAGCAACCCAATCCAAAAATGGGCATCTGAGATGAATACACACTTCTCAGATGAATACAAATGACAAATAAATATATGAAAAAATGTTCAACATCATTCATCATTTGAGAAATGCAAATTAAAACAACACTGAGATAACATCTCACCCCAGCAAGAATGGCTATTATCAAGAAATCAACCAATTAAAAATACTGGAAGAGCTGTGGGGGAAAAGGAACCCTACTCCCACCAACAGTGGAGCCACAGTGCAGCCACTGTGGAAATGAGTCTGGAGATTCCTCAGTAAGCTAGGATTAGAGGTCCCATTCAACCCAGCTATTCTCCTTCTGGGTATATTTGCAGAACAACTGAAAACATACCACAGCAATATATATGCACCCATGTTTACAGCAGCACAATTTGACATAGTTGAATCTTGGAAACAACCCAAATGCCCATCAGTTGAGGAATGGATAAAAAAGATGTGGTATTTTTATACAATGGAGTATTATTCAGCTATAAAGAAGATAAACTCAAGGCTGATGCAATTAGAGACCACACTTACGAGTGAAATAAACCAGACCCACATGTGTAAACATCGTATTGTCTCCCTAGTGTAAGAACTTGAAAAGGTACAATAGATACTGTGAAAGGGAAAGAAACTGCTCAAAAGGAAAGAACAACTGGGATGAGGGAAAGAAGAAAAGAAAGAAGGAAAGGGAAAAGAAAAAACATTTGCACAGGATGGTTAGGATAATTGTACTACTAATTTCTACTGGTTTATTAAAAGGAACAGTTAATGTTTAATTGTTTGATCATCCTTGCGTGCCTGTATTTGGTAATCTGAGCAACTACTTTGAAGATAACAATATGTAATACAACAACCATTGTTGATTTCCTATCATCTTGTTTGGAAATCCTGTATCATTTTTATTGTTTTTGTGTTGTTTTGTTTTTGTTATTTTGTTTCTGTTCTTTTCCCTTTAAAATAAAACTTTAAAAAAGTTAAAACAAAATTTAGCAAGAAAAATATGTATTCATTTCTAAACTTAGTTTAAAAAATGGATTCTTACATACAAAATATCTGGTTTGAATATTATTCATATAAAACAGAAATGCATAATTTCTCATTAATTCAATGAAGTTTATAGAACTCTTGATGGGAATTTAAGCAAGAGGATTAATATTTCTTCTACAAAGATACAATGGTTAGACTATGATGAATCACAATCCAGATAAGATGTGTAAGAGTCCAACTAAAGAGCATAAAATCAGAATAGCAGAAAATTGTTCAGAATGGATACTGAGGTATTGATTCTTTTTCCTTGGGTGTTATGAATAAATCTGTGTCTTCCAGGGCCTCTTAACTGGTTATCATTAAACAAAAGCTGTTTTATTCTCTTAACTCCCCCATATATCTACCCTATTAATATTAACAATTACTACATGTTCAAGAGGTCAGGAAGCACTGTTCTACACCTATGGTATTACATCTGGAGTCTGGTGCTCAGTCACAGGTGGATATTTTAGGGAGGGACATTGACAAGGTACAAGGCATGTCTAAGTTGTCAATACCTAGGAAGATAATGGGACAATTAGCAGGCATATATACCCTAATGAAAGCTAAAGGAAAAGTTTTAGTTTGTACATGATGTTTGAAGTATTTAAGGACACATCTTTTTTTTTTTTTTTTTTTTTTTGTTTTTTCTCCGGTACCGAGAACCGAACTCACGACCTTGCGCTTGCCAGGCAGGTGCTTTTGCCGCTGAGCTAAATCCCCAGCCCCAAGGACACATCTTTTAATCAAAATAAAAACTATGTAAACATTAGACTTCTTCAAAATGGAATAAGCTACTTATTTCTGGGCATAAGATGTAGTCTTCCTGAAGAAGATGACGATCCTCAGGGACACTGGCAAAATATCCCGTAACTGCTCTGAACATAAAGCCTGCAAATTCACAGTATCTCTTGTCTGTCTCTCTTTTTAGTTCTCATTTTCATTCTTGGTCACAGGAACATTTCAGTTCCTGGAATATATCACATTCATTCAGTTGTTCAGCCTTTTATTCACTATTTTCTCCATATGAAATAATATTACCAACAACTTTTTCTCTCGTCTGATAAATATTTAATTCTTCTCAAATCTTATTTAGAATTGAAACCATCACAGAAACATTTTCCAACTTAATATAATTGATTGAACCTCCTACTAAGAAGCTGATTTCTAAAGAGTATACTTTTAAAATGTGAAACACACTATAATTCAAGTGACGAACCAGACCTATTCTTTGTACCCTTAGTAACTGGCAAAGTAGCTTGCACATTGTAAGACATTAAAAAAAATACCTATCATACAACAACTATTGATAATCTCCTACCTCTTCTGTCTGTAACTCACTATTATTTGTCTATTTGTTTTCCTGAGGAACTATCTTGTAGATAACAATATGTAAAACAATAACCATTGATAATTTCCTACCACTTTGTCTGTAATTTGGTAAGCCCCCCCATTATTATGTTATCCTTCTTTTACTCTTTAAAAAAAAAATACGTATCAGTTTTAACTATCAATGTGAATGGTCTCAGTTTACTAATCAAAAGACACAGATTAGCAGAATGCACCCAATGGTATGCTGTATACAAGAAACTCATTTAACCCAAAAAGAAATTCACAGACTAAAAATAAAATAATGAAAAATAATACTCCATGCTATAGGAGCCCCAAAACAAGCAAGACTAGTTATGCTGTGTTTATTTTTTTATTTTTTATTTTTGTCTTTCTGAGACAGGGTCTCGCTATGCAGTTCAGGCTGGCCTTAAGCTCATTTTGTAGCCCAGGCTGTTCTCAAGCTCACAAGGATCCTCCTGCCTGAGCCTCCTGAGTGCTAGGATTACAGGGGTGGGCCACCACGCCTGGCTATGCCATGTTTAAAGTGGACTTTAGGACAAAGCTGACCAAAAGAGGTAAAGAAGGACACTAAATATTAATCAATGGAACTATTTAACAGGAAAAGATAGCAATTATAAACATATGCACCAAACTACGGTGCACCCAACTTTATAAAACATTAATGGACATAAAAGAGCAGATAAACATCAATACAATTATAATTGAAGACCTCAATACCACACATAGATCTACTGCAAATAGGTCTACCACAAATTGATCTACCACAAATAGATCAACTAAAAAAAAAAAAATCAACAAAGAAATATCAGAGTTCAACCAAACTTTTGAACAAATGTACTTAATCGATACATTCAGTGTTCCGCTCAACAATGACAGCATACACGTTCTTTTCAGCAGTACATGGTACTTTCACATATTAGGTAACAAAGCATGCCTAAGTAAATACAAAAGAATCAAAATTTTACCATGTACATTATCAGATCACAGTGCAACAAAACTAGAAAGCAATAGCAATGGAAAGCACAGAAATTATGCAAACATGGAAATTAAACAACATACTCTTGAATAATCAATGGGTCACAAAAAATTAAAGAAAAAATAAGACAGTTCTTAAATTGAATGATAATGCCAGTACAACACATCAAAACTTACAGGACACAATGAAAGCAGTCCTGTGATAGCTGTGAATGACCACATTAGAAAGAAGGAACAATCGCAAACAAAGAACCTAATGATGTACTTCAAGGACCTCGAGAAAACAAGAACAAATCTAGGGCTTGTATAAGGAAGGCAATTATAAATATCAGAGCAGAAATTAATGAAGTGGAGACCAAAAAAATAATACAAAAAATCAATGCATCGAAGAGCTGATTCTTTGAAAGAATAAACAAAACAAACAACCCCTTAGATAATCTTACCCCAAAAAGTAAAGACACAAATCAACGCAATTACAAATGAAAAAGATGAACCCACAAATGACCTTACTGAAATCTAGAAGATTATTAGCAACTACTTCACAAACCTGTATGTCAAAATATAGAGAACTCAGGGGAAAAAAAAAATAGAGAGATTCCTAGATAGACGTGAATTACCAAAACTCAGCCAAGAGACTTAAAAATCCTGAATAATCCAGTAACAGGCAATGAAATTGAAGGGGTAATTTTTAAAACCTATCAACTAAGAAAATCCCAAGACCTGATGAATTCACTGCCAATTCTACAAGAACTTTAGGGAAGCTCTAACACCAATACTCCTCAAGCTCTTTAATGAAATTGAGAGGAAAGGAATACTCCCAAAATCATTCTTGGAAACTATCAATACCCTGATCTCAAAATCAGACAGGGATCCAATCAAAAAAGAGAACTACAGGCCAATCTCTCTAATGAACATAGATGCAAAAATATTCAACAAGGTACTAGCAAACAGGATGCAACAAATCATCAAAATGACCAACTAGGATTCATTCCAGGGATGCAAGGATGTTTCAACATAAAGGAATCAAAAAATGCAAGGAAAAAAATCACATGATCATCTCAAAAGACACAGAAAAAGCCACTGACAAAATCCAACATCCATTCATAACAAAAACCCTGAAGAAAATAGACAGAGAAGGACCTTATCTTACTCTGATAAAAGCTCTTTATGTTCAACCTACTGCCAACACCATATTAAATGGGGAAAAACTGAAAGCTTTCTCTATAACATTAGGAACAAGACAGGATGTCCACTATCACCACTTCTGTTACACAAAGTCCATGAAACATTAGCCAGACCAATCAGGCAAAAGAAAGAAATATGTATAGGAAAGGATAAAGTCATTATTTGCAGATGACATGATCCTCTATTTACCCAAAAAATTCCATCAAATGACTCCTAGAATAACCAAATTCAGCAATGTAGCAGGATACAAAATAAACACAAAAATCAACAGTACTCCTATACACTAATAATGAACTCACTGAGAAAGAAATTAGGAAAACAATACCATTCACAATGGCATCAAGAAAAATTAAATACTTAGAAAAGGAAATCAAGGAGGACATCAAAACACGGAAGGCCAGGTGTGATGGCTGACATCTGTAATCCCAGCACTGAGGAGTCTGAGGCAAGACGATCACTGCGAATTTGAGGCCAGCTTGGGCTATAAAGTGAGTTCAAGGCCAGCCTGAACTACATGGTGAAATCCTGTCTCAAAAAGACAAAAAAAAAGAAAAGCTATCCCTTATTCCTAAATAGGCAGAACCAACATAATCAAAATGGCTATATTTCCAACTGATACATAGATTTAATGCAATCCCAATCAAAGTATCAACAGCATTTCTTACAGATCTACAGAAAACAATCCTAAAATTCATATGAAACCAGAAGAGACCTAGAATAGTAAAAGCAATTCTGGGTAACAAAAGCAAAGCAGAAGACATTGCAATCCCAGGTTTGAAGTTATGCTTCAAAGCTATTATGATTAAAACAACATGGTACTGGCACAAAAACAGATGTGTAGATCAAGGGAACAGAACAGAAGAAGCAGAAACAACCCAGGTACATTCAGCTCTTTGATCTTTGACAAAGAAGTTAAAAGCATACACTGGAAGAAACATAACCTCTTTAATAAGTGGTGCTGGGAAAATTGGAGGTCATGCAGAAGACTGAGCCTAGACCCATGTATATCTCTGTGTACTAAACTAAAATCAAAATGGACCAAAGATCTAAATGCTAAAATGGAAACACTTAACCTGCTGGAAGATAAAACAGGAAAAACTCTAGCAGACACAGGCATAGACAAGGACTTTCTGAACAGAACCCCAATGGCACAATAATTAATAATGAGAATCAACAGAGGGGATTATATCAAATTAAAAGTCTTCTACACAGCAAACAACTAACAGATGAAGAGACAACCTACAGAATGGGAAAAAAGTTTTGGCAACTACTCCTCAGAGGACTAACATTTAGAATATATAAAGAACTCAAAAAAATTAGATCCCTCAAAAATAAAAGACTCAATCAAAAAATAGGCAACCATAATGAATAGATACTTCTCAAAGAAGTAAAAATGGCCAATAAATGCATGAAAAAAATGTTCAATATTGCTGGCCAGTTAGAGAAATGCAAATTAAAACAACATTCAGGTACTATCTTTCTCTAGAAAAAAATGGCTATCATCAAAAAAATCAAATAGAAAATGTGCAGGAAAAGGAACTCTTCTACCTTGCTGGTGAGAGTATAAACTAGTACAACCAGTGTGGAAATTAGTATGGCAATTCCTCAAAAAACTAAAAATTCCACTTGACTCAGCTATTCCCCTTCTACGTATCTTCCCAAAGGATTTAAAGACATCATATTATGAGGATACATGCATACTCATGTTTATAGCAGCACAATTTATAATACAGTAGCTAAATCTTGAAAATGACCTATATGCCCACCAACAGATGAACAGATAAAGAAAATGTGGTTATTTATACACAATGGACTACTACTCTGCCATAAAGAAACTCCAGGCAAGAGTAGGTAAACAGATACAACCTGAGGCCATAATATTAAGTGAAATAGGTCAGACACACAAACTTAAATATCACATGATTTCTCTCATATGAGAAACTATATATATATATATATATATAATATATAAAACCAAAATAAAAGGTAAAGAGGAAGTAGATCTTTTCCAAATAGATGGGGTAGAAGAGATGAAAGGAAGTAGAAGGGAGGGGAGGGAAAAGAACGGAAAGAAAAAATAATGAAAACAGAGCTTTTAGCTGGGTGTGGTGGCACACGACTGTAATCCCAACACTTGGGAGGCTGAGGCAGGAGGATCATTACAAGTTTGAGACCAGCCTGGGCTACAAAGTGAGCTCAAGACCAACCTGACCTGCATAGTGAGACTCTGTGTCAAAAAGGCCAAAGGAAAAGAAAAAAGAAAAGAAAATAGAGCTTTTGCAAAGAAGCAGCAGCAGCAGGGAGGGGTACAAAAACAATTCTTTTTTTGGTCTTTTTGAGACAGGGTCTTGCTACACAGTTCACACTATCCTTGAGCTTACTTTGTAGTCCACATTAGTCTCAAACTTGCAATGATCCTCCTGTTTCAGCCCTAGTGCTGAGCAAAAACAATTTAAGAAGAAAAAAATTGTTAAGATGTATTTAATGCATATATCAACTCCCCACAATATTGTAATCATTATGTACTGGAAACATGTACAAATTTTAAAAATTAATGAACTACATAAATAAGATTTCCTACTGCTTAGTTCTAATTCCATAACTCATAGTCCCCAGACTCATCAAAGTTTTCTAACTTGTCATGATTGCAAATGATCATCATTGGCTTTACACAGGCTTCAGTTTCCCTTTTGTAAAATAAGAATGTCGAGTAATGATCTCTATTCTTTCTTTTTTATTTTTTATTTCTAACAGTCTACAAAGGAGGTAGTAATCACCATTAATTGAATGCTTTTGTGTTGCTGACACTTCACCTACCATCTCATTTCATTTTTCCCACAACTCTTAAGTGACTGGTGCTATAGGTAAAGCAATTTTACAGATGAAGGATCAGGCTCAGAGAAGTTAAGAAACCGTCCCAGTGTCAGGTGGTGGAGTCACAGGCCTGTCTGCATCCCTTACAGTTTTCATATACTGACAGTTTAAGAAGATCCTGCCAGGCGTGGCGGCGCACGCCTGTAATCCCAGCACTCAGAAAGGTGACGCAGGCGGATGGGAGGCTGAGGCAGGCGGATCACTGCGAGTTCGAGACCAGCCTGGGCTACAAAATGAGCTCAAGGCCAGCCTGAACTGCGCAGTGAGACCCTGTTTCAAAACGGGAAAAAAAAAAAAAAAAGATCCTGAAAGGGCCTGGCGTGGTGACACGTCTCTGTAATCCCAGCACTCGGGACGGTGAGGCTGGAGGATCACTGAATTCAAGGCCAGCCTGGGGCACACAGGTGAGTTCAAGCCCACCCTGAACTACACAGCAAGCCCCTGCCTCGGAGAGAGAGGGAGGGTAGGAGGGGGGACGAGGAGGGAGGGAGAGAGAGAGAAGGAAATGAAGGAAGGAGGGAGGGAGGGAAGGAGGGAGCCTGAAAGTGTCCGGGCCAACCATTAACTTGCAGCTAGAAACCACCCATCTGGGTGCCGGGCCTGAGCGCGGCCCGGAGCCCAGGACACCCGACGACGCCCGCACACGGGAGACCGCCCACCTCCTCCCACTGATCCTCGTGGAAGCCGCCGCGGTAAGGCTGGCTCCGGAACTTGTCCAGGAACGCGTCCATGTGCCTGTCGTCCGCAGCGTCCGGCTGAGAGCCCTCCATGGCTGTTCCCGGGCCGCCCGCTGGGGCTCGGAAGCTGCGCGGCCGCTTCCGGCGGCGCGGCGCGCTTCCCTCAGTCCTCCGGGCGGCGCGGGACCGCGCGCCTCGGGTTCCGTCGGCTTGCAAACCAGCGCTTGCCCCGCCAAGCCCTCTGCTCAGCCCCGCCCCCTCCCACCCCGCGGTTGGAATTTGGATGGTGGATGAGTCTATACTCCACAGAGTCTCCGCAATCGCTGCATGTACTCATCCCTTAGTCAGTCAGCACTATTTACGGAGCGCCTTCTGCTTCCCACCTGTGCTGGGCGCGGGCGTGAAGTGACTTATGCGCTTGGGAAAGGGCAGGGACGCCAGGGTAGCTGAGGCAGAGGAAGGGGCAGGAGGTGGCTGAGGACTGGCTTTCCCACTAGGTCAAGTGGAACCTTGGGGAGAGATGTTTTTCTGGGTTTTGTTTGTTATGGTAGCAGGGATTAAGGCCTAGGGCCTTCCAGCTGAGCTACATCCCCAGCACTTTTTTTAAATTTGAGTCAGAGTCTCACAAAGTCACCAAGTTGCCTGGGCTGGGTTCAAACTTGCATCAGAATGCTGGGATTACAGGACTGCGCCACCACACCAGTTCGTGGAGAGTTTCCAGGGAAGGTGTGACTGGTTACACAGGGGTTTTTCTGAGTTTAACTCCAGCCTCACCCTCACAGCAGAGGAACAGGGTCTCCAGTGGACGTGAGGCAGCCCTGCTTGGCTTTCTGCAGCCACCTGGTCACCCAGCAAATGGCTACAGGGTCCTGCACAGGTGCTATAGTTTTGGGGTGCTCCTAGCCTGGTCTAGAATGAGAAGCAGACAGCAGACAGCAGTCAGCCTATGCTAGTGCTGGGTCACAGGTCTGCGCAGGGGAGACCCAGAAGGGTGGGTCCAGGAAGTCTTGCTGTAGGCAGTGATGAAGAGGAGGAAGGGCTCCATGCTCAGGAGGAAAACTGGGAATGAGGTGGCAGAAGCTGGTGTACAAAGAGGTGTGGAAGTGTATGACAGCCTGGCAGGCAGGGCACCACATGACCTAAGCAGTGACGCCATTAAGGTGGGTAGCGCTAAAGGGCCTGACTGCCGTCTTGGTCAGAGAAAGCAGAGTGAGCCATTGGAAAGACGAGGGAGGGTTGCAAGCCATTGTGTTTTGGGAGGCCTGGGCTGCCAGTGAAGGACTGGTGGGGAGGCTGCAGACGAGGCCAGCAGTGGGGAGACTGATGCCAACAGCGGCACTGGCAGCCTGGTCGTCATCTGGTGCAGGGATAGAGGAGAGAGCAGGGCTGAGGAGGGCGTGATGACTGTGAGCCTTCCAGGGCCTGGACTGTCTCTGGCGTCCAGGAGAACATTTGGTCCAAGTGCTTCCTCTTTCAGGCCTTTGGTACATTTCCTCCTTTACACCTGCTCCCTAACCCCGGTTCCCTTCCTGTCCTCATCATCTGTTCCCTCCTTGAGTGCAGAACCTATAAAATGCTTTTGCTTCTGTTTTACTGTTTTCTGCGGAATAACAGAGCGCCTGAAACTGGAAAATTTACAAGGAAAGAGGTTTATTTTGGTTCATGGTTCTGGTGGCTAGCAAGTCCAAAGAGCGTGGCAGGGACTGGCATCTTAGTTTCTGGAGATGGCCTTCGTGGCAGAAAGCAGATGCACAAGCAGGCACATTCCAGAGAGACCCCAGGGTGAGTACCAGTGTGGACTCATTGTGTAACAGCCCAAGAACCGCACTGCTCCCAGGCCCAAACACCTCGCGCTGGGCCCCATCTCCCAACACCGCTGCGTTGCGAACAAATCCACAATGTGAGTTTGGATGGAGACAAACCGTGTTCAACCATAACAGCTTCCAGTTCAATTTGATTCCTATAGGAACCCTGTGAGGTAAGAACCCATTTCACAGGTACCAGTAGGGAAGGCTCAGTGACAGGAAATGACCTGCCCGGTGTCAGGTCCTCAGACCAGACCCCCGTCTGACCAGAAGAGAAAAGCTCCCCAGGCAGATCTGTTACACCTGTGGGTGCACAGTGTTAACAGGAAGCTAACAGCTTCCCCACGCAGCTCAGCCTAGAGAGCTGATTCCTCGAAAAACCACAAGAGACATGCTGTGCTTGCCAGTACCCCCCATACCCAACACTACCCTGTCAGCCAGCCCCAGACCCCCTACTCAGAGACTCCAAATTTTGCACCCCTCTCCACAGTGCCCCCTCCCATACCCAAACTCCCCTATAAAACATGCTCTCACTCCTTGCTCAGGGCCAATGGTCTTTTCAACCTTGGTTCAGCCTCACCCAGTCTGCAGTAAACCTTCACAAAGTGCCTAAAGTCCGCCTGCTTCGATGGTCTCTATTGTGCATTGGTTTACACTAACACCTAGTGCTCTTGAGCCTTCCATACTTACGGACATTGGCTAGTACCTGATTGAATAATCAGCCTCTGCTCCAAGGCCATTGGCTCTGGCCAATGAATGCAGCAGTGTGCCTGGCTAGAAAGAAGGCATGAGGTGGGACACCTTTGAGGACCACACCTCTACTCTTCCACTGGTGTGACCTTGGGCCCAGCACCCCCTTAAGCTGTGTTAGGCTGAGTCCTCATCAGTGAGATGTAGGCAAGAAAGCTGGCCTGCGAGATCCACGGGGCCTACAGTGAGGCTCAGAGAGGCAGTCTGTAAAGGTAGTCTTCATCTACCCGGACTGCTGTAACAGAGTGCCAGGGACCTCATGCCTTAGGGGCTGTACTGATTTTGCACCGGTTGGGAGCCTAGAAAGGCCAAGGTCAAGGCACTGACAGATGTGATGTGAAGCTTCCTTGCTTCACAAATGCCATCTTCTCACTGTGTCCTCCCTTGGCAGAAGAGATGAGGGAGCTCTATGGAATGTCTTTTATAAAGATTCATGTATGCAACTCATTAATACCTTCATTAATCCTGAGTCACTTTTTTTTTAAATTTCCAGTACTGGGGATTGAACCCAGGGCCTTATATTAAGCTACATCTGTTGCCCTTTTTAAATTTTTTATGTTCACATGGGGTCTCGCTAAGTTGCCCAGGTAGGGCTTGAACTTGAAATCCTCCTGCCTCAGCCTTACAGGCATGATCCACCATGTCCAGCTTGTGCATATATTTTTATTTTTATTTTTTCCGGTACCAGGAATCAAACTCATGACCTTGCGCTTGCCAGGCAGGCGCTCTGCCGCTGAGCTAGACCCCCAGCCCCTACATACATTTTTAAAATGTACTTTTCTCACTCAGCACTAGGTTTGAGGTCCCCTCGGGGGCTACGTGGACTCTGAATGCCTCTAACTACAGGTGGGACTCCATGGAGCTCTTTCTGTCCCCAAAGACAGTACCGGGCTGCCTCTCCTCCCCCTGTGACAGACAGCTCTGCAGTGGAAGTTCTCATACATCTCTCGCTGGGGCCCTGAGGGAAGAGTCCCTTGAGATGTGTGCCCACTGGTGGACCTGCTGGGTCACAGTCATGTACAAAGTTACTGTGACTAAACAGTGACAAAATCCTGTCCAGGATAGCTGCACCAGTCTACCCTCCCACTAGCAATGCTGAGGGGCTACTGTATCCCCATAAGGAAGGCAACCCGGCAGAGAGCTGATTCCTCAAAAACCACAGGAGACATGCTGTGCTTTCTTTTTTAAAATAGGGTCTTGCTGTAAGTCCAAGCCAGCATTGAACTCTGTGTAGCTCAGGCTAGCCTTGACCTTGTGAACCTACTCCCCCAGCCTCTCAAGTGCTGGGATAACAAGAGAGTACCATCATGCCCAGCTGAGGACGGAGCATCCGAAAGCCAACATCGGCCCACACCTGTCCCCTGCTTAGCATCCCACAGTGCCTTCCCGGGCTCCCTAGGTGAAGTCTCTCTCCCAATGCAGCGCTGAGGCCTAAGCACTATGGCCCTCCCCTCCAGTCCCCACTCACCAGACTCCACGGCCCTAGAGATCTGCAGTTGATCCACGGCCCTACATGCAAGCCCAGCATATGGTCATCTTTCCAAGCCCTCGGGGTCTGTTCTCTGGGCAGCCTACTCTGAAACAGTGACACTGCAGCTGGCCTGCACATCTCCTCTGCACCTCACAAGCCCCCTGGCCATCTGTGCCTTTGGTGTCTTTAATGTCCCTGATACTTCCATTAAGCCAAAACTCAGCTGTAGGTCTTCTGATGATTTGGGCAGATGGCCCTGCTGTGGGGTGGGCCTGGCATTGCAGGGTGTTTACCAGCCTCCCTGGCCTCTGTGGAGTAGTTGTTAATAGCATCGCTACCCTCAAGGGGAAGCAATTGGAGAAGTCTCCAGGCACCATGAAATATTCCCTGGGGTCAAGAGCACCCTTGCTTAAGAGGCACTGCCTCAGTCTGTTGCCACTGCCCAAGGCCTGGGGCTGGATCCTGTTCAGGTCTGTCCCCCTGGCACCCAGAGCAGGCCTGGCTAGGTTAGGAGCTCACCAGTTACTGCTGGATCAGTGGTGGCCCATTGTTGGGCAAAGGCCTACGGGTGAGGCTCACACATCAGGGTTCTGGGATGTGCATGATGTCATGGGGTGGGAAGAGGCTCCACTTTCCTTCTCCTTTCCCCAAGGGCCATCCAAATCATCACCTCTTGGCTGGGCATGGTGGTGCACACATGTAATCCCAGCACTCAGGAGGCTGAGGCAGGAGGATCACTGCAAATTCAAGACCAGCCTGGGCTACAAAGTGAGCTCAAGGCCAGCCTGAACTGCATAGTGAGACCCTGTCTCAAAAAGACAAATCATTACCTCCTTTTGCTCTTGTGTGTGGAAAGAGGGAAACTGAGATGTCAGCAGACTGACTGTGTGATCTTGGGCAGGCCACTTTACCTTTCTGAGCCTTGGCATCCCCAGTTACACAAAGTAGACAAAACAGCCTGTGCACCTCAGTGAACTCCAGTGTAGTCAACAAGGGAGGGCCACACTCCCCTCAGCTTCACTGCACACAGTGTGGCCGCGCAGAACTCCGCCCATCCCAAGAGGAAGTGCTGAGCACACCCATATGGGACATTTATGGTGAGTCAGGAGTGCGGGCCGGATGTCATTGCTTCAAGGCCATTTTCCAGGAGCCCAGGGCCTGTGTGATCCAGAAGCGCCGTTTGTGCGAGGTGGGCCGGTCCTCAGAGCTGGGGGTCCAGCAGTGCGAGATGACTGGGCCACACACCAGTGAGTCCCCACGTGGCAGCGGCCAGGAGTGCCGCCGGCAGCTGGCCAAGATATGGTCCTGGGCCTGGGCCGCACAGATGCACACAAATGCCTCCGGGTCACGTCTCAGGTCTTCCAGAGCTGTGTCATGGGGAAGAAAGGCCACTCATTAAGCCCGCATTTCCACACCTTGGCTTATGCGTCCTCTGTCAGCATCCCCGCGGCTCACTTTCCTCCTGGCCCTTTCTTTACATCTTTCAAACCTGCCTCCTCTAGGAAGCCTTCCTGGCTTGCCCCTGCCTAACACCATACTCCCACCTGCTTCCCCCACTACAAAATAAACTGTGCTCTCTTAAAAGTCTAAACTACTTGCTGGGTGTGTGGTGCATGCCTGCAATCCCAGCACTCTGGAGGCTGAGGCAGGAAGACTGCAGCAGTTTGAGGCCAGCTAGAGCTACATAGTGAGTTCAAGACCAGCCTATACTACAAAATGAGAGGGATCCTGTCTCTAAAAAACCAAAAGTCTAAACTACTCACCCTGTACTACATAGCTTCTGGCCTTGGTTTTTTTGCTTGTTTGAGGGGGCTGCTGGTTTTATGAGACGGGTCTTGCTAGGCAGTTCAGGGTATCCTGGAACTATGTTGCCCAGGCTGGCCTTGAACTCATGTTGATCCTTCTGTGCCACCACACCTGGCCTGACCTCAGCTTTGAGACCCATTTCTTTAATGGGACTGTCAGTTCCCAAGGATGGGCTGTGTGCTCTCCTTACTCATCCCACAGTACCTCACACCGTCCTCACCCCAGATTAAGGCCTGCAACTGAACTTCACTGAATACCTCCTCTTGGGCCATGTCCCTTCCCTTCCCGTCATCCACTATGATCTACACGTGGTCTCCCTGCCCCCAGAAATCCCACCAGCCCAGGGCAGGCAACTCACCAGCTTTCACTTCATTCCGCCAGTCTTCCGTCATTATGTTCTCCATGCAGGGCACCAGGGACCCTGAGCATAACCCAGGAGGTAAGGGCTCGCAGCTCCTGCCTCCATCCCACCCACCCACCCTCAGACCAGACCTCAGGGAAGCTGTCCCTGTCCTCCCACAGCCCTGCAGGATGACACAGCAGGGGAACTTCATTTGGACCTGGGGCAGATTCCCCAAGGGGGTCCTCAGAGAAGGCAGCTGGTGCCATGGGCAGGGATGGCACCAGGGCAGAGCCAGGGCCCCAGGCACAGCTGTCTGAGGGGGTGCCACCATAGGCCAGGCCCTGCTTTCCTCATCCGTGACATGGGAAGGGCCCCTCTGCCGCCCACATCTCCAGGGAGTCTGGCTGCTAGTGAGCCCTGGTGGTGCTGGGTCAGCCGCGTGGGTCAGGGACCTGCTCCCAGCCTGGGCCCTGGCTCCCGCGGTGCCTGCAGCCCACAGATGGGCCGTGCCTGACCCCTCTCAAAAGGCCCTTCCCTTGGGTCTCTTTGGACACGTCTCTGTTTGTCCATCGCATTCTGCTTAGCAAGTGGCTCATGCACAAAGTCCTTCCTCCCCAGCCCCCAGCTAGGTGAGCTGCCCATCCAGGTTCCCAGAGCACCTGAGTCCTCTCTCGAGGCTGTACTGGGTTATATCTGTGATTTATGAATCTTTATCTCCTGCCAGACCAGGAGCCTTTAAACGCTAGATCCCCTTGGGGGGGTGAAAGTGGGAGGGAAATTCTCCAAGGATCCTAAAATTACAAATTACACACATACACCCATTTTTCTAAGAAAAGTGTTCACCGCTTTCTTCAGACTCTCACAAAAGATGTGTGACTAAAAAGAGGCTACACACAGCCGGGTGTGGTGGTGCACGCCTATAATCCCAGCACTCGGGAGGCTGAGGTAGGAGGATCGTTTGAGTTTTGAGACCAACCTGGGCTACAAAGTGAGCTCAAGGCCAGCCTGAACTGCATAGCGAGATCCTGTCTCAAAAAGACAAAAATGGGCTGAGGATATAGCTCAGTAGCACAGGCACCTGCTTGGCAAGTGCGAGGTCCTGAGTCTGACTGCCAGTACCAAAAAAAAAAGAATGAATAAAAAGATTAAAAAAAAAAAAAGAAGAAGAAGCTACACAGCCCTGCACAGTGGTGGGAGCTGCCTGCTGCCTGCACCGGGCTCCCTTCACAGCCAGGCCCTGGCACAGGGTGTCGAACTCTGGCAGGTTTAGGAGTGGTTATTGGGGAAAAGATTTAAAGAAATCAGCAGTGAGGAAGCAGACATCACTCCACAGAAGCAGCCTCTACTGAGCAGCCCCCGAATTCTGGGGATGCCCTCTGTCCAAGCAGGGATCATGTTAACAGCCACCTCAGCCCTCACCCCAACCCACCCCCGCATCAGTATCATTTCCAGAAGGGCTCTTCCTGTCTCTAGCTTGACACGAGTCAGGTATCGATCGGTGGATGGGTGGGTGGGTGAAAAACTGCAAGCAAACTGAGGGAGAGTGCTGGAAGTGTCATGTCTAGCCTGTCTGCAGCCAGGCCTCCTGGCCCTTGGGAAGGGATGTGGTTGGGCTGGGGTTGTAGCTTAGCGGTAGAGCAGTTTCCCATCATGTGTAGGAATGTGGCTCACTGGGGGCAGGGAGAGTAGAAAGGAGAAGGCACAGCCAGCCTGCAATCAGAAGTGTCCTGGGGGATTCAGGGCAAGGGGATCTGCTATTTGTTTTTCTTTCTGAGATAGGGGCTCACTATGTAGCACATGCTGGCCTCAAACTTGCAGCAATCCTCCCGCCTCAGCCTCCTGAGTGCTAGCATTACAGCGATGTGCCATCACACCCAGCTATTTTTTTTATTTGCTACTTTTTTGCCTAGAAAGGGAGGAAATGGGATTACTGGAAAGAAAATAATGAAGGTGACTAACACACATTTTAAAAAATATTCTCAGGAGTAGAAAGGGACATGAAAAGAATTAAGATGTGTTATGTCCATGTACCTCCTCCCCAAGATGAATGTGATCATTAGGTACTGCGAATGTGCACTAGTAAATATAAAAACTTGAGAAAAAATGTTCTCAATTTATGTATGAAATAGGAGTTGATCCCCATCTTGCAGATGAGGAAACTGAGGCCCAGTTGGGGTCACACAGAAAGGGCGTCACAGAGCTGAGTCTGTATTTGGCTCCCCACCCTACCATGTGGCCCCCATGCGTGGCCCCCCTGCTATTCTCCGGCGCGGGGGGGCTTTGCCCTGGCTCTTGCAGGGCCTGGACCCGGGTCATGGGTGCTGCAGGGAAAGCGGCAACTGAGGGAAGCATCTGCCCAGGCCCGGGCCGGCCAGAAGGGCCGGCAGCAGGGAGTCAGCGGGGAAGAGTAGGCAGGGCCCTGGCGGCAGGACTGGAGAGGCCAGGGCAAGTTACCTATGAACACGACTGAGGACTTCCGGAGGGAGGCCCGCGGGTTCTTGGCGTACTCCAGGACCTGGCGGAGGAATGTCAAGGCGCTGTCCCGGTGGGTGTTCACCTGGGGCAAAGACAGACCCCACAGTGCTGGGCCCTCCGAGGGACTCATTTCCCACCCTCCGCGAAGCTGGGCGTGGTGACCAGTCCTGGCCCCGCCTCCTGGATGTCTCGGGCTCCCAGCCCTCCCTCCGCCCAGGCCTGAGCCTCATGCTCTCTGCGCTGGCTGCAGCAGGCGCTTCAGCGGTGTTCCTGCCTGCCGAAGGGAAAGTGCCAAACTGCAGGTCCTGCTAGGGATGAGCGAGGACACGGCGGCGTGACCCGCACGACAGGGGGTGCCGTGTCCGAGAAGGGCGGAGCACTGGAATGCAGAGCAGTCGACTGGGACTGGGGCGGCGGCAGCACGGAGCCAGGCAGGACTGGGGCTTCTCACCCATTCATTCGTGACAGGGCCATGGCAAAACAATATCTTGGGCAAATTATCTGAGAACGGTAGTCAGGGCGGGTTTGCTGGTGGGACCTGTCCAGCTAAGCAGCGGTTGAGGGAGGTAAGGAGAAATCTGATTCCAGCATACTCTGCATTCAACATCCCTTCCCTCCCACCACTGTCTCCGCTCAAACACACTGCTCCGGGCCAAGGACGGGCTGCCACCCCACCCGTGCCGTTCCAAGGGCCCTTCCCTCTCTGCCTAATGAGCGTCCTCCCACCCCTCCAACCTCTGTCCAGAAGCTGCCCATCCCCATCACGCAGAGCCCATCCCCCCCGCCATGCTTCTGCAGGTTCCTGCATGTCCTTGGTGTGGTTCCTATGACAGCGGGTTGTAATTATGCCACCTGCTGGCTGTGTATGTAGCGCACCCAAAACAAGGGCCCTTTTTACAAAGCCCATCCTCAGCTCCCTGGACAGGGCCTGCTTTGGAGCTGGAGCCCAGAGAATGTTAGAAGAATGAATGAGTGAATGCATGAGCAATAGGTTACCAAGCCTTCTTCAAGCTAAGGCTAGATGTGGGCCTTCACATGAGCAAGGCCATTGACGGTGTGGAGAGCGACGAAGAAAAGTGAGGCTCCAGGGAGTTCTACCACAGAGGTCACAAGCTGGCGGCCACAAGCCACCAGCAGCCACTGAACAGCGACAGGTATAGGCACTGTGTTTAAAATGAGCTAAATTGCCAGGCATGGTAGTGCATGCCTGTAATCCCAGCACTCAGGAGGCTGAGGCAGGAGGCTCACTGTGAGTTTGAGGCCAGCCTAGACTACACAGCAAAACCCCGTCTCAAATAAATGAAATTAAAATGAAATAAGCTAAATTGATATTATGTCTTATACGTAGGTATGCTTAAGGGGGCGTGGTGGGGCACACCTGTAATCCCAGCACTCTGGAAGTCTGAGGCAGAAGGATCACAAGTTCAAAAACAACTTAACAAATGAGATGACCCTGCCTACATAAATAAAATAAGTGTTGGGGATGTAACTTAGTGTGAAGGTCCTAGGTTCAATCCCTGGCTTGTTTTTGTTTTTTTTGAATGTAGGGGTTTTTTTGGTTATTTTTGTTGCTCAGAGATAGTGTCTCACTATGTATTTCAGGCTGGTCTTTTTTTTTTTTTTTTTTTGAGACAAGGCCTTACTATGTAGTACAGACTGGCCTTGAACTCTACTATATAGCCCAGGCTGGCCTTGAACTCACGGTGATCCTCCTACCTCAGCCTTCCGAGTGCTGGGATCACAGGCATGAGAAACCATACCTGGCCCCCCCAAAATGTAGATTTCTAACTGTTATGGTTAACTCTAAAATATCCCCCCACAAAGGCTCATGTTTTCAGAGGTGAGATTTTTAGAAAGTGATTATATCATGGGGTGCTAACTCCAGCAATACGGACCAATCCATTTATGAGTTCCTGACTGAATGCACTATAGGAGGTGGAGCTTGGTTGGCAGACGTAGGTCACTGGGTTGTGTCCTTTGAAAGCTACATGCTGTCCCCAGCCACGTCTTTTCTCTCTGGCTGCTTCACTCCCTTCCTGCTTCCTGGCTGCCACGAGCTGAGAAGATTTCCTCTATCATGCCCTTCCACAATGAGCTTTCTTTTTTTCTTTTCTTTTCTTTTTTTTCCTTTCCTTTTCTTTTCTTTCCTTTTGAGACAGGATCTCCCTAGGTAGTTTAGGCTGGCTTTGAACCCACTAGTAGCCCAAGCTGGCCTCAAACTTGCAGCCTTCCTCTTGCCTCAGCCTCTCAAGTGCTGGGATTACAGGCATGCACCACCACCTCCAACCACTCATAGTGTTTTTAAAAGACCATCTTGGTGGTCTGGATGGGGAGTGGGTTGCAGGGGATGAAAGTAAAGTCTGGACACCCATTGGCTGGCTGGACACCCATTGCCTGGCTGTGCCCATTGGCTCAGCCAAGAGACATCTGCGGCCTGAACTAAGGGCAAGACAGTGGGCATGAGGATGGAGAAAGATTCAGAGATCCTCAGGAGCTTTAGGAACGCTCAGATGTGGAAGGTGAGGAGAAAAAGGAGTGCAGGATGGTTCTGCCTTGAGGACCCAGAGGGACAGCAGAATTGAAAGGGAAGTATGTCCACAAGGGACACTCCGGCTTGAAGTGCCTACAGGCACCTGAGGTGTCCACTGCGCCTGTGCAGAGGGGACACAGGAGGAGGGGGGATAGGTGAGAGACGGAGGTGAGTGTTCCAGAGCCAGCGACTTGAAGGGGTGGTAGAAATTGCCAGTCAGGATGCTGGTGTAGAAAGCAGGAAGGGGAAGGACGGCCCCACCTCCACATACTCAGAAGGAAGCACTCACAAGGTACTTGCAAAGTTTGGCCACTGCCTGCTGCCTGTTGTCCCAGGACTTCCGGCTGTAAGCTGTCTTCGGCAACTCCCAAGCCATGAAGCAAGAACAGCGGAACAGGGTCTTCACACACTTCTGGGGGTCGACAGGAAGAGAACACCAGAGCTGTGGGATGCCAGGAAGCCCAAACATATTCCAGAACCAAAGGTGGGTCAAAGCTGGGTTCTGGAAAATCAGCTCCCCTTGAAAATGTACAAATGAAGTTAGCCAATCTGAAGTGGAATGTTAATGTGGATGTCTTTGGGAAACAGACCCAATGGGATATAAATAACCACCCGCCTGGGTGGCTTGTGACCCTCACCTGGTTTCCACAATGGGAGACTCCCTCAGGGCGGAGGCAGGCCGAGGGCCCAGTGCCTGAGCACACTCACCTGGCCCACCTTGGCGTTGCCCTCCTGCATGATCAGCAGGAGCGGCACCAACGTGTTGGTCAGCTGCTCCTCCACGGCCTGCGTGCAGGGTGCCTGAAGCTTCTGGACCACCTTCCCGTACATGTTGATGCAGGAGGATTGCACATCCTCTCTTGACTGGGGCAGACCAGAGGCTCAGGGACCCCTCCTCCAAGAGGGGCCTCCAGGCACAAAGATGGGAAGCGAAGGACAACCAGGGCTACTGGGTAGGGCTGATGGGGCCAGCCTTCCCCTCACCCACGCCTGGCTCTGGGGCATCTCCATTCTCCCCAGCCAGGGCCCCTGCTAACCTAAAAGGTGCCTTCATGACACCTGGGGAAATCCCCCCTCTGCTGGGCCTGGTTAAAAAAATGTGTCCCCTTTGGGTGGACAAGTGGCTTTAATTAGATCTTTTCTGGGGAGACTTCATAGAAAAGAAGAGCTCTCTCCAGGACAGCCAACTAGAACAAAGAATCTCCAGAGGGACCAATTGCAAAAAGACAGGGGCCATTTGGAAAAAGGCACCCCCTCCCAGGGGCTGGCTCTGCCCTCTCCAGGCCACCAGTGCCCTGTGGGATTCCTTACGTCACTGAAGTGTGGCAGCAGGACCTGCAGCATCTCCACATAGACTGAGCTGTCCCTCTGCTTCCGGTCTTTTCCCTTGAAGATGGTCTTGAGGCTGTGGACTGCCTCCACCACCAGCACCCCATCCATGCTCTTCAGGCCCTTCACCATGGAGGGCAGCAGGGCCTGCACCTTGGCTGTCTGTGGGACAGAAGCCCTTGGGAGTGGGGCGTCCTACCTGCCCAGCCTGATTCATGAGGATGAGAAGGGTGACCCCACTCCCACCCCAGGCCTTCACTGGTGTGCAGCCTCCTGCCTGGAAGGCCCTCGCTCAAGTTTGGGCTGCTGTCAGGGGCCTCTATCTTCCTGGCTCCTGCCTGGCCTGGGTCCTCCGGGCTGTTTGGTTCCTTGCCCCCTGTGCTGTGAGTTCGCTTACTCCATTTACGTCCGTCCCTTCATCCTGTCTACATCATGAGCCCGGGAGCAGAGAAAAATGAAGCACTTTTATAAATGCTCAGGGTGCACCAGTCAGTGACTAGGGGCTCAGTTGTCTGTTCTATAAAATAAGAATAATTGCTGCCAACCATGCTCCCCCTGTACATTCAACTTTAGGGCCACTGGGAAAGATCTGGACTAGAAACTTCAAAAAAGGATGAAATATATAGAGATTGTGAAGACAGATCCGTTTTATAGACGGATCACTGAGGCTGGACAAAACGGGGCTCTGATTCTAACCACCTGTGTCTGAAAGACTGTGATGGCCCAGCTCTGCCTCCTTCCATCAGGGGCCTGGCTGGGCAGGTTTTCCTCTGCCCTCCCCTACTCACCTTCTCTGACCTGCGGGCCAGGATCATCAGGCCCCGGATGGCCAGCACCTTCATGACAGGGTCGTGGTGGCCCAAGCCTTCCACCATCCGCCCCAGAGAGTACTCCTCGGGGATCCGGCGCACCTGCTCCATCTGGAGGAGCTGGAGGAGCAAACAGGAATGACGCTCAGCCAAGGGGCGGGTGGCCGCTGTCCTCCACACAGAGTGCCCTGGGGAACCCATGCTCAGCCTCTGCCCAGAGCTGCAGACCTGGGAAACACAGCTTTCTGGAGGAGCCACCTGTTACCCACCAGCTCCTCCTGGCACAGCCGGAAGTGTCTCTCCTCACCTCAGAGCTCCATGTGCCTCCTCCTGCCTGGCCCCTGGCCCCTTCTCGTCCCCATGGCTCAGTCACACCAGGCCAACCCTGGAGCCCACACCATATACCTGCCAGCCAGCTTCTACCCAAGCTGCCCACGTTCCCTGAATGGCCCCAGCTCTGCATCCCTTCTGTGTAAGTACCAGGCTCCTCTGCCGGAACTCTGCCTCCCCATCCCCTTCCCCAGCGCCCCCTCTGCCCTGCCTGTGCCCTGACCACCTAGAGGCATCTAGGGGCTCCCTTGAGGACAAACACCAAGCCGTTCCTTCTTGAGCCCCTGTCACCCAGCCTGGGCTCTGAGAGGCAGTGCACTCAGCACTCTGGGGCATGAGTTCAGGTCACGTGAAACCCTGTTCCTTCCCTCCTGAGGGCTGCCCCCTGCCTGTCCCCATGGCACCATCAGCACTGCCCCCATCTCCTCCCTCGCACCCTCCACTGCCTTGCAGCCAGCAGGGCTTCAGCTCCTGCTGCGCCGTCCTCGCCAGTACCCCTCCCGTGTGCCCTTGCCTGACAACTGACACCGCGGTGGACACCTGAGTCTGTGAGTTGGGGAGCGCTGGGGACAGAGAGAACTGCAGGAGAGGCGGGACAGCTGTCCAGGGGGAGGGCAGGGAGCCAGGGGATGAACCCTCTGCCCATCCTCTGTCCTGCACACACCAGGACCCAGCAGAACCTGCTGCACCCAGGGTCTGGGCCAGGCCTGAGAGACACAGGGAGTGATGGTCCTCACCCTCACTCTGTGAGGCAGGCAAGTCCTAATCCTCAAGTTACAAGTGAGGAAAAGGAAGCACAGGGGGCTGGGAATGTAGCTCAGTGGCACAGCGCCTGCCCGGCAAGCACAAGATCTCCTGTGTTCAATTCCTGGTACCAAAAAAACAAGAAAGAAGGAAAGAAAGAAAGAAAGAAAGAAAGAAAGAAAGAAAGAAA